ACACCTGTGTGACACCTGTGTGACACCTGAGTACCCTGGGTAACACCCGTGCCACACTTGAGCACACCTGTACCACACTTCCGCACACCTGTAGATACCTGAGTCACACCTCAACACCCCTGTGTAACACCTGAACACACCTGAACACACCTGAGCACACCGGTATAACACCCTGTTACACCTGAACACACCTGAACACACCTGTGTAACACCCTGTTACACCTGAACACACCTGAACGCACCTGTATAACACCCTGTTACACCTGAACACACCTGAACACACCTGTATAACACCCTGTTACACCTGTGTCACACCTGAACACACCTGAGTGCACCTGTATAACACTGTTACACCTGAACACACCTGAACACACCTGTGTAACACCCTGTTACACCTGAACACACCTGCGCACACCTGTATAACACCCTGTTACACCTGAACACACCTGAACGCACCTGTATAACACCCTGTTACACCTGAACACACCTGAACACACCTGTATAACACCCTGTTACACCTGAACACACCTGAACACACCTGAACACACCTGTGTAACACCCTGTTACACCTGAGCACACCTGAACACACCTGTGTAACACCCTGTTACACCTGAACACACCTGAACACACCTGAGAACACCTGAACACACCTGCATAACACCGTTACACCTGAACACACCTGAGCACACCTGTATAACACCGTTATACCTGTATCACACCTGAACACACCTGTGTAGCACCTGAACACACCTGTATAACACCCTGTTACACCTGTATCACACCTGAGCACACCTGACAACACCTGAGCACACCTGCATAACACCCTGCTGCACCTGTGTAACACCTGAACAAACTTGTGTTACACCTGTATCACACCTGAACACACGTTACACCTGAACCCGTACCACACCTGCATCACACCTGTGCACACCTGTGTGTGACCTGTATGACACCTGAACACCACTAAGCGCACCTGAGTGCACCTGTGTCACACCTGAACAAACCTGAGCACACCTGTATTACCGCCGTACCACACCTGTACCACACCTGAGCACACCTGTACACCTGTACCACACCTGAGCACACCTGTACACCTGTACCACACCTGAGAACACCTGTACACCTGTACCACACCTGTACGCCTGCACCACACTTATACCACACCTGAGCACACCTGTGCACCTGTACACCTGAGCACACCTGCATGCCCACACCACACCTGTAGCACACCCGAGCACACCTGTAGCACACCCGAGCACACCTGTACCACACCCATAGCACACCTGTAGCACACCTGAGCACACCTGTACCACACCTGTACCACACCCGAGCACACCTGTACCACACACCCCTCCCCCAGCCGATCCCCAGGCC